AGTTCTTGCCTGGTGATTACACATAACTCACAAGCTCTCAGTCAGGATTATAACTACTTATTATATATTCCTTAAAAGTTTTCATTGTCCTCAGTGCTAGATAAGTTCTCCCTTACTTTTTTTGTTTACCTGCTTCTAACATCTCAATATAAAGAGCAAAAAATATAAGAGCTTTCAGGGAAATGTGCTTTCATAATTTCCCTGCAACTTGAAATGTTGATAAAGCATCGTTCATAATATTAGGAAACTTGTTGGTTTGAATATATGGCCCTAAATTTTACCGATTGTAGAAATTATTTAAATATAGTCACTAAATTTGATGATTGCTTATAGGTTTATAATTTCCTGTTCTATCAAAATGAAAATAATAGTGATGGTTTTGTAAAGGCCAATTCCATGACTTGGGAGGCATGTGCGGCTTTGATCAGTAACTCAAAACTTCTATAGGCACTGAAAACTGTATATGCTCGCATCACATTCTTTCAAAGGGCCTCAATATTTCCATTAAGGAGCATGGCTTGCGTGGTTGTGACAAGCAGCAAGCCAGTGTTCAAGACTAGAGTGCTGCCCTGGGATGGGATGAGCTGCTGTCATTCACTCCAGCTCCTGCTTGGGACATGAAAGGAGACCCAACTAGATATCACCTGGGAAATGGTGATGTCTCCAACTAATCCTTTCAACTCATTGGGTGTCGTTGACGAGTGTGATATGAATGTTTCCATTGGAAACGCCTCCTTACACTTTGAGAACCATTACAATCTGAACATCTAATCAATGAACATGATTTTCACTCTTGCTCATACTTCAAAAGAAAGCATGACAAGGTAAGAAATGCTCAGCTTAACCTTTGTTTAAATTAGCATGTATAAGCTTGCATGCTTGCAGGTGTGATCACATATTTAGTATTTCACATATCCCTCATGCACTCCCAGTGTCAAAGAGAAAGATACCTTTTAATAACTTTAAAGGACAAATATGTCTATATGGATATAGACAGCCTAACAGCCTTTATATAGAACCACTGAAGGCAATCTAAACAGTCTATTAAATGTAATGAGCAGTGAAATTGTTCATTGGAAATAGCATCTTTGAGCCTTCAATTCCAGCCTAGGAACAATTTTTCACGCTGATTTCCACTCTATTTGAAGGCAGATAATTCTCACATGTCCTTTCCCAACAGTTATCATCTTGAGAGCTTTTTTCTGGGGCTACCACTCTACAGTGGTCCTTTATATGTCCAGCTTGACAACATATATTCAGATAACCTTTACCTTTGGCAGGCCTGTAATGATTCTATCAATTTCTGCCAACTTTTAAAAAAATATTATCAGTTCTATTCATTTTTTTATTATTTTGTAGTACTTCTGTGTTACTTTTATAAACTCTTCATGGGGTGTTTGCTGGATAGACAGTATAAAACATACTTCACCCAGCCTAATGTAGTTTGCAAATAATCAGTTTTCAATATTGTGCAATTTTTGAGGCTTCCCAGAATAAAAGTTCCAGTGTGATAATGCTACTTCCATATTTCCTTCAATGAGAAACCAAACACAATCCTGGTTAATAGAATGGTGTTATGAGACAAATTGCATTTCACAAAGACTGAACAAATATTTTAATTTGGCTACCAATGATTTTACAAAACGCTAGAGATTTACATAGAAAGGAACCTAGCAGTACAGCTACTATCAATAAAAATTAAGCTTGACACACACATAGCCAGTAATAGTCTTTTCATTATTGCTTAAGTTTCTTTTCTCCAATTAATTACAACTTGATGGATGTAGCCAAAGGCTTCCAAATCCAAATCAGTTATTGATGAACAAGCATTTTTCCAGTTGGAACAGAATGAAGAAAATTATGGTTTATGCTTAATCACAGAACTTTCAGGGCAATAGATTTAACTAAGCAATTTTTCCCTCAAAGATTTTCTTGTGGCTTATATGTGATCATGATACGTACAAATGTAATCCAAAAATAGTATGGTGAAAAGACCAAGGAAATTTTCCACAGCAAGCTACTTACAGTTTTTGTATGACACTCCAAAACTTGGATGCATCCTCAAGAGTTTTGCAAAAGCAATTACATAATATAAAGCTCAATCTGAGCACTAATTTTACCCTAAATAAGAACTGACTTTCAAAATACGTTTTTGTTTTGTTTTTCAAGGTTAGACTCACTGGACTGACAGTATCAATCTCCTTAATACAGATTATAAGTCAGAAGAAACCTTATAATCATCTCATTCAAACCTCTTGCTCAAAACTGGACTCCACTGAACACCCTATAGAAGTGACTATACACCTTCTGTTTGAAAACCTCCAGAAAGAATGGTGGGGCATTGCTTCTTCCACAGAAATATGCAGCATACTTTAATTTTCTAGGCCAATTTTCAACATGATGACATTGTGAGGCCAAAGTTCTAAAGCTTTCAAATCGGCCTTCTTTCTTTACCTACACTGAAGAAGTATATCATGTTTCTTTAATTTTCTGACACTTTTTAACTCTTTTGGGTTGGTGTGACTTAAATAAACTAATTCGTGAACTATTGTTCAACTACCAAACAGACTAATTCATGAACTACCATCCAAACTATTCCATAGACTTAAGACTGACAATTTAGTGCTAAATTGGTCAGTGAAGATCTAGTCCTATAGACATATGGGAAGCAGTTAGAAAAGGATTGTAAGGTGCACGATCTGCTATTAAGTCATATTGTTACCAATGACCATAACCTGCCCTAAATTCTTGGCCATTTAGGGCTTATACCTGAAGATTAAGATCAACTTTCTATTAGCTAAAAACTATCACTGAGCAGTGTTGTAGAAAGCATCGTGCCTTTGGATAGATTTAATACTTTCCTACTGTAAAAGAGCAATTTCTCTAACAGATTATCTATCATCAGCTCTTTCAAGTTTAGACAAGACACAGAAAACATCCCTGGTAGGGAATAATCATATTTTTTCTACTCTCTAAAGACTTAGTCACATAACACCAAAACAGTTTCAATTATTTATTAAAATACAATGACTGTGCAGCTGTGCTTCTTACATAAGAGACAAAGGAAATGTTATAAAGGGAAAAAGTAGTGTTAAAAATTTTTGAGACTTTATCTGGTTTCACAAGTAAAAATAGAGACCACCTACAAGGTGGTTTTGGTGTTTTTTTTGCAATTCTATCCCAATCATTTATGAAAATATTATGCCAGTTATTTTTAAAAAGAAATATACAGGGAAACAATTGGGTAAATTATGTTTGCTTAAGGATATAACATATTAGTATTGTTAACCATTGTGTAATCTTAGAAAATTATTAGAGACCTGAAAAATAACTTTATTCATTCTACACAACATCAAATATACATAGAATGTTGTCCTTTAGATTACCATATTAATTTCAGTTAAGCTGTCAATGTAATGCATTTCAGTATGTATTTTGGCTCTTCTAGAACCAAAATTAGAAGTCATAATTTTTTTTAGAATTGAAAATGTAGATTAAATGAACATGAGATTTGAAAATAATACCCTAAAAAAGCAGCATTCTATTTAGCAGCTTTGCAGTAAAGAGCTCTGTACTTTACCTTCATGGAAAAGCCAAGCTAGGTGCATTGCTAGGTGCATGCTACATCCATGCCACAGTCCTCTGCCCCTAAACAACATTCCCAGACTGACATTTCTGCACATGCAAAGTCTCTCTGCTTATGACACTTAAACCATATTTTCATATTAGTAGTTACAATATATTGCATATCTCTTCAATTCAAATGAACACTGCTACCAGCTAAAGAACATTTTAATAATGTAATAAGTTACCCTCACGAAATGACAACTAGCAATTATTTTCTATTGTCCAAACTAATTCCAAGTCCCTCATTTCTTTAAATTAGACACAACATTTTAATTAAAATGAGCAAAATGTCATTTATAATATATTGCTTGGCTCTATTTTATTAATACACAATCTTAATTCTATTAATACAATGGATGTTTACTGAACTACAGTGAAACTACAGGAAGTTATTTATTTACAAGCACCTATTATCTGACCTTAATTGGAAGCCATCATCAGTCATTAGAAATTGCTATTGAAAATACATTCAGGTTTAATGAACAGTTCATACAAGCAACAATGGAAAATAATTGCCGCATGTAGCTATGACTAATAGAACAAGTGAACTTCATTTCAGCTGCTATCCTGCCATAAAAAATTAAGTCAGGTTTCCCGACTATTGCTATTATTGATCAGATGCAACTTTGGTTCAACTATTTATCTTAATGTTTTAAAGCACCTGATGGCAAACATGCATAGTTGTTCCTGTCATTCAGAACTGCAGGATAATACTGAAAAACATTGTAATGTTCTAATTCATAGATACATTTATAGAAAATCCAAGCTTCACAAATGTGTAATAAACCCAGAATTGTGGCGTTGACCCAAATTAAAACTGTCCAGAAGCTCTGTATCAGAGTGACAGTACTATGCTAATAGTACTCAGGCATGTATTTAAAAAAAGAAGCAAAAATGGATTTTCATAATCAAACTATTTCTCAACTCCAGATAAGAAATGAAAAAAAATGAAGTAGAGAAATACTATTAACACTGCAGTGGCAAAGTTTCTTCAGGGGATAAGGCAACATGTTTTCTCTCTTAAAAATAAATGCCTTGCTTAGTGCTTTTCCTGATATACTGTGTATGAGTCTGTAGAGTTCATTTTGTAATCCAGTTTGGAAGTTATTGCTTTCTCTAAGATTACCTAATAAATTGCTTGCAATTTATGTTATCATCATAACCTCAGAGTTCAAATCACTCATGGGTTTCAGCAGTATGGCTTGTAAAACTTTATGATAGCAAAGCATCCTCCATCCAAAATCAATCAAGATTAGAATGAGATAATGTATGTGTTAGGTTATTTCATGAATTTGCAGAGCTTAAGCCAGATGTCTATGGAGATCCAGGGCAGAAATTGAAAACATTTTGTTTCTCATATAAGAAGCTTCTTCAATTCTTCAGAAGTCCAGCTGTCTTTTGGGACAGCTTAAGCCAGAGTTACATCTGAGTTCCAAGTGCTTGCAAGGAAAACATGAGTGCTAAAATTTTGGATTAAATGCTCATCAGGAAAAGCTTTTAGGACAAATTTATTTCATCTATTTCTTTAGCACATCAATTTATGAATTTTTAATTCTTATATGGGAGAAAGATTGATACATTTTTATACTCGTATTTTGCTATTTGGATCATACTTTGTGCAGGTTGTTTGCTGTTCAACTAATTTTAATGAGATCCTGATAATTACTTTGCTCTTTTTGTCTACTGTTACCATACTATTAGTAGAATAAAATATTATGTGCCCGTTCCAACCCCCCCATTCAATTTTCCTAAAAACCATTCATTTACAATATTGAATACAACGAAGTAGTTATGCTGACAGAGCTTTTGCAAAGTTCACATAGTAATCCAAATTATTTTATGCAGTTAAAATCTGGCAGATACGTACATTTGTCAGTCGTTAGTTTTAAAGTAGGTATAGAACTTTGTAAGGTAAAAACCGTAATACTTGATCAAATTTATGGAAAAACTCAGGGGATTGTGCAAACATTGATTGAACATGCTGGATGGTAGCAATGTGTTTGAATTCTAAATATTGTAGTCCCATATGTGCATATGTAAGAAGGCACTTGTCTTCTTATGGCTTGGGTCAGATAAGGCCTTGCCAAAAATGGCACTACTGATACTATGGAAGCAGAACCAAACCCTGAAGCTTTGCATTGCATCGTCCAAGTCTGCTAGGAGAAGTTGAGAGATATTCTAAAGCACAATAAAACTCAGAATAAATTCCAATAGTTTTTGCCGATTACAATGAGGTAGAAAAGTACTGCTTAGTTCTAAAATACTCTCTCTCTTCTGTTTTGTCTCCTTAAATACCTGCAAGGAAAACAGATTTTTCATAGTAACTTCTAGGCACATTGCATATTTATTAACAATCATAATATGCATTGATTCTATATATAGGTAACATAGACAATCAACGATTCTGGAAAACTAAAACTTTTGTTCAATTTTAGGGCCAAAATATCAGCTCTTGGTCAAAGTAAATCAGAAAACTGTGAGCTGTTCTTGGCCTTGCAAATGAAGGAAAAGATACGTGTCCCAGGATAATACTGCAGGATCCAATCTGAGTCGGTCACCGAGACCCAAGGTTTAACCTTCCAAGCTTTCGGGCTTGTGCTGGAGCCCATCATCAGGGAACCTCTGTCTCTACAGAACAGGTCATATTCTGGAATGTGAATATAACATTCTGGAGAGAGAAAAGATCCCTGATGATGGGCTTCAGCACAAGCCCGAAAGCTTGGAAGGATAAACCTTTGGTCCCAGTGACTGACTCAGATTGGATCCTATTCTTGGCCTGACTGAAATAGCAAAAGAAGTTGTAACCAGAGACAATATCGGATAAACAAACCCTTATTCTAACAAGTTATCAGTGTATGTTACATTTAGCTATATGTTTTTAAAAGTTTTCTACATTCTATCATTCAAAAATAAAACATTTCATTTTTTTTATCCTGTTAATTAATTGCTGAATATTTTCCAAATACGTGGCCACTTAATCTAACAAACATATTCAGAGACACAGTAATAATTTCATTTAGTATAATTTAGATAATTTGAGTTAATTTCTTGAATTAACAAGAGTACAGAGGTTGGAACATGATGGTTACAGCAACATGTGTCTACATGTCTTCAAAATTAATTTTAAAAAATGAAATGGACAAAGTGTTACAAGTTCATCACATTTAATGAGAAGTTAGTGTTCCTGCATGAGCTCACAAGACAGTAGGCACTCCTATGTAAGATCATGCAAGAGCTCAGGAAAATTTCAAATTTCTCAAATGCTGCCAAACTTTGGGGTGGTTTATTTTAGAGGAACCGATACTACAGATGTGATGATGTTTACTACCTGAAAAGATTGCTGCCCTTTGTTATTTTGATCATTTTACACTGTAATCTCAGATTAAGAATGAAGACATTAGGAACTAACCAACAAATATTGGATGTTTTTCTGTTTTTCCATTTTATTCTTGTTGATAAAACAACATACACACACACACACACACACAGAGAGAGAGACTATATATATACACACACACACATACATACACACACACACACTAAACAACAAATATGTAAAGTTGATCACATACATTATATTACACATGTAAATAACATTACATACTATATATTACATACATACAAAAGATTACATGCTAAGGCTAATGTTTGCTATAATTACTGTGGTTTGCTATAATTACTGTGAAGCAATAAATATCTAGACTTACCCCCATGTCTTTAAACACTTTAATTGCATTTTTTGCAAGACAATAGGTGGCACTCTCAGCTGTGAATATAATAATATTATATTGTTAATTTACAGATTTAAAAAAGCCGCTGTCTAAAACAATATAATTAAATCAGAAAGCTAATACTTCTACAGAAATAACTATCTGACATACCGTACACTGCAACATTCTTTTCTGTTCTTGATATTAAATATTTGTGTAATTTTTGAAGACATTCTGTCTCCCTGACAGGTCCATTGAAATTATGGATGAAGATGGCGGCTGAACTATATGCCTCCAGTAATGGCCCTAGAAGCTTCTGCAGGAAGGAGATATATTGCTGGTGCTCCAATGACTGGCTCACCTAGTAAGACAAGCAGAATAATAAAAACAACAACAATCACAAAGAGGATCATGCAACAATATATGTACATAGTGCTAAATCCACACACTAAAACCAGGCATTATCAGTTGGAGGAAGGCAGGCTAGGGAATAAATTATGGTTCACCTTAGGTGGTAAGCTATTGTTTAAAACTAGAGTTTGTTGTTGGCTTCTTTAGTGTATCTATGGTTTAGCACAAGATATAAACAGAAAACATGGTTTGCTTTGTGACTTTCTTGTTTATTTCTATTTGTTTGTCTTATTTTTTGTTTGTCCTGTGCCAGCATCTAATCAATTCATGGACACATAAAGCAAGAGCTTTTTTTTTAAGGGAAAATTAACTAAATCTCCATTACTGCTTTACTGTTTTTTTCTGGATTGTTCACCCAGTTATGATTAGAACAATTGTAGCATTGCTAGAAGCTGTAATTCAGCAACACGTGGCAATCACAGAATCTCAAAATCTGCTGCAAAAAAAATCTGGGCTTATTTCTTAGAAACAATCTCAGTTGTCTAAACAAGAACCAAAATTAGCTGATCCAAAGACATTATTTGATTTTCAATAAGGAGTCTGATAGTTGTATGTTTTCAAACAGAAAACTTCTGAACAGCTGTGAATGTGAAACCCTTAAGAACTCTCTACAAGTTGAAATAAACGCTTGGGAGAGAATGTGATAATTGGTATTATTTATAGTGTGTCATAGTTTAAGAGAAAATTTGTATAAAATTATGTACTGATATAAATATGACACTGAAAATACAAATTTGTATATTTATAATTTTTTTTCTTTTCATTTCATTGCACTTTTTCATTTCTTGCATTTTTTTCTTTTAATCTATGCTATGTAAAAAGTATGCACACAAACACACACACACACACACACACACACACAAAGGAGTTGGTCCTACAAATCTACTTAGTACCTTCAAGTAGCAATCCCGTTGTTCTTCACCAAAGTCGCTGTCTTCATCCTCCTCATCACTCCTCCAGGACAACCGTTCTGGAATATTCTTTTCCCAGTTTTGCTCTGTAAGGCTAGAACTAATATCCTCCTGTTCTTCCTGCTTAGAATAGAAAAATAGAAGTGTAAGAATCATGGGGTTTTTTTTTCCATTGTGAATACTGCTTTTGATTTTAGGATAACCACCAAAGTTTTTCTATAGTCATTTCAGCAAAGGAAGATCCAAGTATTCATTTCCAAAGAAATCATGTGTCTCATTTATAAACCAAAGATGTTGGATTAACATTGCACAATTAATTACAAAGATTGGCTTGCATTATTCTCACTGTTATGCTTTACACCAGTGTTTCTCAACCTTGACAATTTTAAGGCATGTGGACTTCAACTCCCAGAATTCCACAACCAGCAATGCTGGCTGTGGAATTCTGGGAGTTGAAGTCCACATGCCTTAAAATTGTCAAGGTAGAGAAACACTGCTTTACACTGAAAATAAAGCTGATTGCTAAAGACACTCTCCTTAATATTAAAATCTAGGTGTTACCTATCACTAGAAACATCAGTTTGCAGAAAGTCCTTGCCACTGAATTTCATAGAAATGGAAACAATTCAACTTCATTACTATAGAAACATTCTTCCAGTATATTTCATGTGTTAAATTATAAAAATGCCTGAGGCGTTTTAAGACTTTTTACAATTCCAGAATTTTAAATAATTTCCTCTAAAGCAATTTGCACAAATAGAAACATTTGTGTCTGACTTTCTTAGTTTGATGGTTTTATCTCCTGGAAAATTCTGTACTGCACAGGAATGCTTTAAATTTGAATCTATATAATTAATACTTGGAAATCAGGAACATTGAGTTCATATATGCTTTTTTAAAAACTTGTTGTGGATTTATCCAGGTTAATTGTTTTTGGCTAAGCTTTTTATTTTTTCCCAAAATTATTTTAGTTGCTTCTAGTTTTCTGACTAACTACTACATTTTTATTGTTGTATTGTTAGTTGTCTTATTAGGTCATAGATGAATCTATCGATCTGTACACAGAAATAAACATACACGCATGCATACACATTCTTAGTCTAATATATAATAATATTTCTTCATACTGAAAATATAATTAAGCAGTTTGAAAAAAAAGAAAATGGTACCTACGTGGAACTTAACTAAGATCTCTTTAAGAATAGGGTTTTTTTTGAAAACCACAAGATACAAACCTATATTCAGTTCCAAATTTCATCAAATTTCATTCAGCTCCTGCTGAATCCAACAAGCATGTTGGAGGGGAGTGACACTGTAGATTTAACAGCCAACTAAATTTTTCATTCCTTGCAAATATATGCTGATATTTATGTAACTATTAATACATATTAATTAGTGAGCAGTACTTCTACTAAAAATAGTAGAATGCTGAACATTCTAACTACCAAAAATTATTTTTATTTTAGGTGCAAAGAAGGCCTTGACAATTTGAACTGTATTTTTTTGTTTTGTTTTCTGGAATATATGAACCTTCAAGATTATTTTATTAAATGAGTAAAGTCAATTTAAACTTCTCAGAAAGCACAAATAATTGTTAATAGAAACAAATCGGTAAGATTCAAAAAGGGACATGTAATTGTGCACTGGAGATGAACATATAATTGCTAAAATATACAATCTTTTGTTGAAATTTGAAACTAAAGAACAGATTAAAGAATGCATAATAAACTGGCCTCAGAAATTTGGTTACAGTATACCAATGGATCATTGGGGAAATATGTGGTTAATGTTGTGTTATGATCGCCAAGATATTTTTTATAAAATCATGTATCATTGGTATATGATAATAGAATAATTATCTAAAATGTATAAAGGAACTTCAAATGTATATTGGAAATGTGAACAACATGAAGGGATCTTTTATCATGTTTGGTGGACGTGTAAAAAGCTTAAAAAGTTTGAATCTGAATACATACTTTGATACAGAGGATTTTAAAGATCAACATTCAATTGAAGCCAGAACATCTTATCTTATCTTATCTTATCTCATCTTATCTTGTCTTATCTGTTTATATTTATAACTGCTGCAAAGAATACTAGAAGCACTTTATATTTTCTTTTCTATTGTTCTTCAACTTTGTTTATTTCCTTGCATTTTTTTGCTCTTTTATTTCTTCATTTTTTTAATTCCTTTATATTATATTACTTTGTTAGCATTGATCTTCTTGAGTAAAATAAAATTATATATACAAAACTAAGTATCAAAAGTTATTTTGGTCTGAAGAATAATTTTCAAAGGATTTTCTGCAGTGAAATGAGTATAAAAAGTTGCCAAATAGCATAGTTAACTATCCAAAATAATTATCTAGATACATAAAACACATCATCAACATCTTACCTCTGCTACTAAAAGAAGTCCATATTGTATGAACTGTTCAATTGCTTCATGGCACACTTGACATAAAAGCTGACAGGGCTGAACAGGAAAACAAATTAGAACCTCATGACAATTCTCTCTCAATATACTATTTCTATTAATTGAATACTCTTGCATAAAATGAACAACAATTCTTATAAGAAAAGATAATTTCAAAAAATGGAAATATTAATTTCCTCTGCAGTTACTTCAAGTCAATAGTAATTATTTTTCTGGAACAGGCAGTAAGATAAATGTGTAGATCATGTACTTGCAAGAGTGCTTGTAATTTTTTCTTTATTTTTCTATTTCAGAGGAAACACAGGTAATGCATTTATTTTAATTCCAACATAACTGAAAACTGAAAGCAGGAAAATAAACAATTACAGAACTGGAAAGAACCTCCCTTTCTCCCATATTTAAGAATTTCTTTGTCAACGTTTTCCCAAAAGCTATTTTAGAAGGTTGAAAAATTATTAGCCATACTTATCTCAATGTGTGTCATTCCCTATTATTTCAATTAGTGCTGTATATTGTTTTACACAGCTTATTCCAATCTGCCTTGTGTTACACTATTAGCTTTAATGCTCCACATATCCTTTACACTTCAAATTAGAGCTTGTTCCACAAAAATCGAAATTCTAATGGAGAGGTAGATTAGTTTTTAACTTAGTATACCATTGGGTCTTAACTGCCCAGTGACTGCTGGAAGATCATTCATTGAACACTTCCTCTACTAGGAATTAATAACCCATAGTTTGATCAGGATGTTATTTAAAAAAACAAAAAAAAAACATTAGGTGATTCTCCATGTAACACAGGAAGCAACAGTACTGAATTCAGAATACAACACAATCATTATCAAATCTAAAGAATCGTATTTATTATTATAAGCATTTTATTTTAAAGGATGTACATTTTATATATAATAACTGTATGTAAAAATGAGACAGCCCGGATTGAAAATGAGAAAAAAAATGCTTTGAAATATTTTCTAGCTTCATTTAAATGGCATTTAAAATGGTTAAGCTGTAAAATAAATTGTTCTATATTTATTGCCTTTGTCAACAATGTTCCTTTTTCTGGTCACATTTTGGACATTGTGTGTGTGTGTGTGTGTGTGTGTGTGTGTGTGTGTGTGTGTGTGTGTATGATATACACACAGAGAGAGCTTGCCTGCTACTTCTGTATGTAAAGCATGTGGGAAACTGATACTGCTTGCAGCTACATGCTTCTCTTCCCTTCTTCATTTCCTCTTTTTAAAAACTCCAGTACATCTCCATTTGATCCATAATACTGTAGCATAATACAAACGATATGGTGGTAGCAACAGAATATGCGCCAAACAAATCTGCACCCAAACACTTACCAATGAAACAGTTCCTTCATAACACAGCAAATAACAGAGGCTGGCAGCTTTTCGGACCAGTTGTTCTTGACTAATCACATTGGGCAGAATCCCACTGATACCATTTTTATGCCTTTTATTCAGCAAAGCATGAAGACTACATGCTGAAGCAAAAGAAAAGATATATTCAAACGTATTCCTAAATTACTGCATGATATGTCAAACTCAACCTCTTAAACAGTTAACAGCAACATTGGGCAGAGCATTTCAGGCATCAGAGTAAGGACAGTTCTAGGACGTACCGATGACAGCCTCTTTGAAGAAGACATGCAGTATCCCATTGCTATAAAAGCTGAGTTCAAAGACAGCAGGAACAGATGTGTTGGGAGTGATGAAGAACTCATTATTCCGACTGGTGTTTGTGATAGTGATACAGTTTCCCAACAAATGGATAGCGTGCATGACAACATCTTCAGAATTCCCTGAAAATCCCAAGTCATAGTCCCGAGCCAAGACCTCCTCCTTCATGGAGAAGAAATCTTCCACCAGCTTAGAAAGATCAATTCCCTAGACAAAGTATTGACGTCAATAAGTGATAGCTCTCCAATTATACAAGCCCTATACAAGGTTAAGAAATGCTAAGTAGGATTGGTTAGAATAATTCCAAAGGAATGAGGGTAAATCCTAGGCAATACTGAAACCACATTTATGATACTTAAGAATCATGGCCTGAAACAACATATTGCGGGGACGGGGATCTAATATTTTGTTGGTTTGTGTGACAGATGGTGCTCCCATAGGGAAGCTGGTGTGATGTATTACAATGAACCAGCAGTTTCCCAGGAAGGAGATGGTACATTCGGGGGGGGGGAAGGGGGGGCAGACAAGATGCAGTGTAGCTTAGAGCTAGATAAGGGATGTCTCTAAATAAGTGTAGGTTCCTTCCTTTTGAGAACAGGAATAAAAAATTAACAAAGTCAGTTTACACATAGCTTATGAATGCACCCTATTCCTCAACAAACTAAATAAGTAAGATAAAATAGGAAAAATGAAAGCTTAGAACATGTTTTAAGCATTGTTGGCACTTTGCAAATTTATTCAGTGAATGCAGAAGCATAGCAGCCTTACCTGTCTGTGTCGGTAGAGCAGCAAACAGGCAACAATGTGTGTTGACATCACAGCACATGATTTGTTAGCAGCTAAAGGCAAACAAAACAGAATAAAACTATACTGGCACTTTGGATTGCAACTGAAGGGCTCAGAAAGCAACATTTACAAAATGCCAGTCATAGCTGAATTAAGAATTATGATTATACAGAAAGATATTCCATTTTCAATAAGGCAGCACAAAAACCTATCTATTGATCAAAAATAAACATTAATTTTTAGTACACAAAAATGTATTATTTTAATCCATTGCAATATTAAAATACCTGGCACTCTGAAAGAGTGAAGAGTGGAAATGAAGAGTAGAGGTAAAAACAGAGAGCAAAGTTTGGCTGTCAACTCTGAGGACAGTAGGAAAAGGTGGCCTTATGGTAGGGAATGGAGGCAGCAACCATGTATGACTGGAGAATCAAATGGATCTCTGAGAGACTGAAGAGTGGTATGGAAAGCCCCATTGCTCTAGAGTAAGAGAGCAATGGTGTATACTTAAGTTCATGGGGCTGTTGAAGTGTTTTAGCAGACATCGGCTTACTCAAGAGATATAGACAATGGTTATTAAGATTATGATAGAATGGGGGGGGGAGAGGCAGAGAGAAAAGAAAAAAGGGAGTTTAATTTTCATGATAATGCGTAGATGGATATGTAAGTAGCATATTGTTATTGAGAAGGAAATCATTCTAGGTGGAATTGGCCAGCCTATTCTCAGCATTATCTCCGACAGACATGGATCCAAAGATAGTATTGTGTTATTTAACTAGCCATTTGTGATTGATTTTAGTGGTTTTCTAATAATTTTATAAGCAACCAGCAATTATCACTTGAATAGCAGATGATTTACTGTACTGTAGTTCTATTGTTGATGTGATGTGTTTTCACTGTATAAACTGCCTGGAATTGTTTGAATTGGGCAGTATATAAATTCCTATAAACAAATAAACAGAGGTTTCTTAACCAGACAAAGTTCTTACTGCTAGAAGCTTGTTATCTACACTGAAGAACGAGCATTCCATAAAAAAAAAAGCAAAAAACCACAAGACAGAATTTGGGCATAATTTGATTTCGTTCTCAAAAGATGTACAATAGTGCCAATAGTCAAAGAAACACATTTATTGATTGGATGTTCCCGCTCTGACAACTGATGAAAATTGCAGTCATTTCCGCTTTGCTTTTAACATGCTTTGTCCTCTTGTTAGAAACTAAGTCAGAAGGGGGGTTGGGATGAATGCTTGAGCTCAGCTAGCCATAATAATAACGCTGTTCTATGGGAACTCAAGGACGAACTGATAACGTTTTGGCGGGCTAAGGAGCAGGGGAGAAAGCCCGTGTTTCAGGCTAATTGGAAAACGTGATTTATGACTGCTTATTGGGGGTGGGAATTGCAATTTGTTACTTTGTATCCGGGGGAAGGGAATTTAGTTTTGGGTTCAACTATGTAGTGCCGATACTTTGTTTCCTGAATAAAATGTTCTTTAAGGAAGAATTCTTGCCTTGAAGTTCTTTTGATGAGTTTCATCTATCGGAACCATGACAGGTTATACATATATCATATGGCAAAAGGGGGAAGGGGTTGGAAGCCAGTTGACAGACCAGTCTTCGCTTTCCCTCAACCGCTGTCTAACAGCAGTCAGTTTATCCCAGCTGGTTATCCTGCAAACTGTCACTTTAAGAAGTGACTTTTGTGAGTAATATCTGACGCATTAGAAGAAGAACAGGATCCTGCCCTATTTTAGAAACCAACTGTAGTTAAATTATTTCATCTTCAGCAATATACTCAAAATAAAGACAGGAAGATCCAAAATATTTTCAGCCAACTAGTTTGGCATTGCCTCCCAAAAAACTGGTTTCCTTTACTACAGAAGTGTTACAGTTTTTATTATTATTTTATTATTATTGCGGCCGCGCGGGCGGTGTTGGGAGGGACTCGTCACTCCCACGTTACGCCGCTTCTGCACGAGCTGCATTGGCTACCGGTGGCCTTCCGGGTGCGCTTCAAGGTGATGGTTATTATCTTTAAAGCGCTCCATGGCACCGGACCTGGTTACCTTCGAGACCGCCTCCTGCCACAGATTACCCCCCACCGACCTGTACGCNTTGAATAGCAGATGATTTACTGTACTGTAGTTCTATTGTTGATGTGATGTGTTTTCACTGTATAAACTGCCTGGAATTGTTTGAATTGGGCAGTATATAAATTCCTATAAACAAATAAACAGAGGTTTCTTAACCAGACAAAGTTCTTACTGCTAGAAGCTTGTTATCTACACTGAAGAACGAGCATTCCATAAAAAAAGCAAAAAACCACAAGATAGAATTTGGGCATAATTTGATTTCGTTCTCAAAAGATGTACAATAGTGCCAATAGTCAAAGAAACACATTTATTGATTGGATGTTCCCGCTCTGACAACTGATGAAAATTGCAGTCATTTCCGCTTTGCTTTTAACATGCTTTGTCCTCTTGTTAGAAACTAGGTGCAGAAGGGAGGTTGGGATGAATGCTTGAGCTCAGCTAGCCATAATAATAACGCTGTTCTATGGGAACTCAAGGACGAACTGATAACGTTTTGGCGGGCTAAGGAGCAGGGGAGAAAGCCCGTGTTTCAGGCTAATTGGAAAACGTGATTTATGACTGCTTATTGGGGGTGGGAACTGCAATTTGTTACTTTGTATCCGGGGGAAGGGAATTTAGTTTTGGGTTCAACTATGTAGTGCCGATACTTTGTTTCCTGAATAAAATGTTCTTTAAGAAAGAATTCTTGCCTTGAAGTTCTTTTGATGGGTTTCATCTATCGGAACCATGACAGGTTATACATATATCATATGGCAAAAGGGGGGAAGGGGTTGGAAGCCAGTTGACAGACCAGTCGTCGCTTTCCCTCAACCGCTGTCTAACAGCAGTCAGTTTATCCCAGCTGGTTATCCTGCAAACTGTCACTTTAAGAAGTGACTTTTGTGAGTAATATCTGACGCATTAGAAGAAGAACAGGATCCTGCCCTATTTTAGAAACCAACTGTAGTTAAATTATTTCATCTTCAGCAATATACTCAAAATAAAGACAGGAAGATCCAAAATATTTTCAGCCAACTAGTTTGGCATTGCCTCCCAAAAAACTGGTTTCCTTTACTACAGAAGTGTTACAGTTTTAAGAATATATTAAATATAGAAAGTTAGTCAGCAAAAATATTTAACTATTCAATGTGCTCCTTTTATGTCATACGCATCCTAGATACTGTAGACATTATTTGAGTGAGCTCAACTCTGAAATATTAGATTAAATAGATGAAGAAAAGTAAGATTATGCTATTCACACATTAAACTTCTAGAAGTAGATATGGCTTGCTTCCTATATTGGTGCAATCCAGAAGGCATTATACAGGTAGTCCTCGACTTACAACAGTTCATTTAGTGACCATTCAAAGTTACAACGGCACTTTAAAAAGTGAGTTATGACTGTTTTTCACACTTACGACCATTGCAGCACCTCCACGGTCTTGTCATCAAAATTAAAACGCTTTGCAACTGGCTCAGTTGTATGACGGTTGCATCGTCCAGAGGGGTCACGTGATCCCCTTTTGCAACCTTCTGACAAGCAAAGTCAATGGGGAAGCCGGATTCACTTAACAACCATGTTACTAACTTAACAAATGCAATGATTCACTTAACAACTGTGGCAGGAAGTCGTAAAATGGGGCAAACTCACTTAACAAATGTTTCACTTAGCAACATAAAATTTTGGGCTCAACTGTGGTTGTAACTTGAGGACTACCTGCACCACTCTGGGAAAGGCAATCAATAATTTTATGTAAAATTCGCAAATCCAATAAATACAATGAGTGTAATCAAGAGATTTATTCAGAATGGCATCTCTCAGATTAAAGACTATATAATTTTAAGACAAAAGAAAAAGAAAGGATACAGGAAAAGGAAAGCCCTGCTACTTAGAAAGTTGAATATGACAGAGAAAATGCAGGATGAACTCTACAATGAATACTTACTGAACATTATGTGTTCTGCCAAGTTAGCTATTAATTGTCTTCTCAGTGGCTCATAAGATAAATTCCTGGAATCCGGAAGGGCAGCTTCTGTACTTTCTCCTACTATGTAATTAGGCCTGAAGATTAAGTGACAGAATGGGTAACTTATACTGTACGAACTGTACGGACCACAAAATATTTTAAGTACTGCAGTTCCCAGTGCCAGAGACTATATTTGCGAGGGAGACGGCATTGAACCTGCAAATAAACTGTTCTTTTATCTTATATGAGCAGATTTTGAAAATTACTGTAGGGCAAGTCTATTACCGTCCTTTGCCAAAACATGAACCATACTTCCCTGATTAAATTATAGATCTAAGTTTGACAGATTTTTCCCTACAACTGCTTGCTTCATGGAATCACACTGTATTAACAAAGCCTGGGCTCCCATAGTAGCATCCAGGTTGTATTGCAAAATAGGAAATCGTGCTTCATCTTAAGATTTTCATATCCTGAAGAAATAATGATATCTTTGCAGCAAGAGTAATGATACATTTTACAACTTTCCTATCATGTAACAATTCCTCAATTTTTTTTCCTGATCATATGCAAAAAAACCAACAACATAAAACCCCAAAGTCTTAGGCTGTTAAGTAGCTAATACATAATCCCAGAAAATCAATTATTTAGGTTACCCCCAAAACGATTTCAATAGGCTAGCTCAAACTTAGTTAGACAAATCAGAGACAAACATCCAAAATTCAAGATACATTTACACCAGGGGTAGTCAACCTTGGCTCTTTTATGACTCGTGGACTTCAACTCCCAGAAGCACAGCTGGCTCAGGAATTCTGGGAGTTGAAGTCCACAAGTCATAAAAGAGCCAAGGTTGACTACCCCTGATTTACACCACAATTACTAAATAAAGGTACAGCTAGAATTCTAAGTATTAACTAGTTTGACTAAATGGTTTTGAAATGTAGTACTTAACTATACACATAGTTAAGTGTGTAATATTCAATAAAAACATTCTGATGGATGTTATCTAAGCAGAATTCTAACTTATTCAAAGAACATTCACAGAAAACATTTTGATCCTGAGTCCTTAAATTTGTATTAAAGCTTGATAAACTGAAATTTGGAAAAGAACTTCCTCAACATTTATAATCTGTAGATTTAACAGAATATTTGATTGTTGTTTGTTCATCATTGATAGAAAATCCTCAATTCCATCATACCTTGAAGGCAGTACAGCTGGTAATAGAGTATGTTCCAAAGAAAGGGGAACAGGCAAAGGTTTCTGATTTTGGCAATCTAAATATTCCTGTAAAAACATAACATTTGTAACAAATCTCTTACTGATTAGGAAAATGATTTTTAGAGAACAGCATAGTAGCAAAACTGCCAATTAGCCAATAATGTAATATACTGAAAACATGTAATTTTTGAAGTGCATTAGTTACCTCAAGAATCTAAATTAATTTACAACCAAATTGAAAAGGTAATAATAAATTTCTTAGATATTTCTAGGTGGTATTTCTTGCATCACTGCTTTAAAAGAAAAAGCTCTACTAGTTTTTTCCATTCTTGTCTTCTCAGTCTTTGCTCAGTCTTTCCAAAGGACCTAGGACAGACAGATGTTGCTGTTTAATAATATTAATGTATCGTCAAAGGATGTAAACTGTTCCAAGTATATTATTATTACGGTTGGTTGAAGTCAGCCAGATGTGAATTAGGCAATTTTATCCACCTATTGAATCTTTCCCAAGATTCTGGGAATAGGCAGATATTGTTTGGTGGTGTTAAAGATATTGAGAAGGATGTAAAGTGGTCCAAGTAAAGCTGCCTTTTTCAATTGACTAATAGTAAGTTTATCAAGCTTCAAGGTGTTCAAATGATGCTCCATTTGCTCCAGTTATTATTGTTACTACTTTTGTTTTCTTTTGATTAATACCTTGAAGTCACGGCATCTCATATTCAACACTTTTGTTAATGTGTAAGGATCTGTATTCTAGCATGAGATTTCAGCTACAAAACTCTTTTGTTTGAGCAATACCATTATGTGTGAAGTAAAAACTTGAAATATTGTTTCTACTTTAATCTGAAATATGACTCATTTAAAATATCTTTTTCACAGTTTCTCAATGAAATTTTGGTCATAAAATATCAGCTTACTTTTAAAGAAAATGGTTGAGCAAAATCAACTCTAACACATCCATAATTCTTTCGTAACATTCGAAAGACTCCTCGGGCTACACTCCATAGGCTTTCATTCTTCTTGGGCTTTCCCTGAAAGACATTGAAAAGAAAAAAAAGAGGGGGGGGATCACAAAAAAATGCTTGCAAGCATTGCACACCAAGTTATTTTTATTAACAAATAAAACTAAATCTAATTCATTGGTCCTCCAAATCATGTGAAGTTGTTATATAGTTGCTTTCATCAAATGAACATATATTTTTAAGCATTTTCCCCTGAATGATTTACTTTTCTGCATGATTTTATTTTGTATCATATTAAGTCCAGATAAAGTTAACTTTTGTCTCAAAACTATAGTTTTATCAGCAGAACTGTTAAGTATACAATAAACAGCACCTCTTACCAGCTGTTCACTCGTATAGTGACCTTCAATTATTCTGTCATAGGAGATTCCCACAGGTATAATTAGTACGTCAGGAGAAGCATTTGAATATAGAGCATCCACTACTACTGATAAAAGACCTGCCCTTGCACAGGCTACTTTCCCACTCCTGGACCGTGTCCCCTCCAGAAATATCTCTAAGAATTGCTGCTGTCGAAGCAACTCTTCAACATGCTGAAAAGAGAATGGCAACAAGATCAGACGCAAGTTCTTTGCATTGTTTCAAATCAGTAATTTGTAAGGTGGACACCCACCATGAGCACAGCTCAGATTTGCAACTCTGTGTGAGAACAAGATTTCTAATCATTTAAGCAATAACATGTCCTCATCTATGATATACAACTTTACTTTTATTGGAACTGTATATGATTGGATAGGATAATCATTACTGAAAGATCACAAGTAACTTTGGTATTATCTAACTAACAACAGTGCACATAACTAAGAGCATATAGTTGCATAGATATGAGAAATGCAACTTCAACATTTAACTAAAGCATACAAATTTATTCATGGCACATGTATAGTCCATACACCACTGACATGGTGTATCCATGTGATCCATGAAGTCATCAGTTTCCACAAAATACATAAAAGTACAATACAAGCTTTTCACTGTTTTCTTTGCAGAAGCCTTTCTATTGTAGTAAATCTTTTATATTATGTAGGCTTAACCCTGAAAGGAACAATACCTCAATTATAAAGTGAAATGAAACTTCTTTAAATTTTGAACTTTGCTATACATTTACATATGCATTGTGCACTGATACAATGCACAGATTTTATTTGCAACCTTGCAGAAATAAACTTTTTTTAATGTACATACCACATGCAGTAAGGTTCTGTACAAAATATCTTTTTGGCCATCAGGTCTCTCATCTAATTTTCTTCGAATAAAAAACCCTCCAAGTTTGTGGATTAAGGTGCTACGGAAAGGGGAAAAAATATGCATGCCTTTTTAATTAAAAGGGAAAGAATGCAACTTTAGCACAGGTTATACCAGACTGGAAAAAATACAATATGCATATTTGTATAATATGAAAGGAAAAAACTAACAAATATTAGTTGAGCATTTGATTATAAAGTCTTTAGATGCATTCAAATCAACCACTCCTAGCATTACACATCAAAAAACATTACAAATGTTCACTTTTTTCCCCTTGATGTTTTCTTTTAATGTCTTTGAGGAAAATGATATTGTTATGTGATACAATGATATGAAAACATGTTTAAATACATAAAATTAGTATTTTATAAATATTAATATAATTTTTCATTAATCAAATCAAGACATATAATAAATCATATAAAAACTTAGGTTTTATCAACATTGTTTTATAAATCAATATTGCTTTTTACTAGAAATCTGTATCAATGTCTACCCTTACCAATGTTTTTTAAAATCATATTGCAATGGTGTAAGAGACCAAGATTTCAATTATATATATTAATTATGGTAATTATAAAGAAGCATATTATTTGAAAACACATATTAAATGTACAAAATATACCTTATTTTGTTTTTTAAAAAACCCTTTTCTTTAGGATAATTACAATATTACAGTCCTAGATAGTTAGGAATAATCTATTTTCTTAAACATGACATACATGAGATAGAGTTCAATAGTGAAGAATTTGTAATTATAATATAAAACTCGATGCTGTACAATTGATAATCTTTTTATACATGAAACTCTTATTCTATAAGTTATATCTATATCAAAAGTTGACTTTTCTGTCTCTCGTGGAAAAAAATTACTAGTTCTTGAAGTTTAGATACTTCAAGATAGATAAGTTTTCATTCTATTTGGCACAATTTGTAAAAAATAACCTCATTACTTTCTGACACAGGTATTTCATGTACAGTAACACTCTGTCATGTGACTATGGGCAATGTTAATGTTCTGAATTTTTGATATGTTAAAATTATATTAGAACTTCAGAATAAAGACTACTACAATTGCAATCTTATTTCTGTTTATTTACCAAATTAACATAAAAGTTGCTGGCCATGTATAATGGGTCATACAACAAAGCACTTTTCCATCAATGCATGCTACATATTCAGATATCTTCTTGACAGATGTTAGTTCACCTTGGTCAGGCAAGGGAACAAAATGGCTGACATTAACATAGTAAAAGTACTAATGCTGTTTTACCTGAAAATAGGAATATTCAGATTATTTCCTGCTGCAATGTAGGGTGCCTTGATATTGTGGCAGAAAAGAATGAATGTGAGAAGCAGGTAGTCAATGTGAGATTTGTGAACCGGTAAGAAGACAAGAGGCAAATTTAGCTGTATGAAAAAGAAAAGAGGAGTTTACATTCGATACCAAAACATAATTTTAACATATCAATCAATTTCTCTCTTTCTCTTGGTAGTACTTGCATTGGTTAGGCAGAAGAGGGAATGAATGTAATAGAAAGGATATATATTTCACAGGCAATAGATTTTCATCAGATTTATAGCAATTAAATATAACTGCTTTCTTTGTATCATATTATGGGTGGATTTGAAACATATACAGTAGTTTATATTTTGATTAGGTAGCAAGGTAAACTTTGAACAATACTTTGTTCAATAGTTTTAAAACAAAATGATCTGGAAATTAATGGCAAAAATATATTGAATGAACCATAAATAAGTAATTAATGGTAAACTATCATTTAAATATTCTACAATTACTGAAATTTTCAAGTGGATGATATTACAAGAATATATCATTCACTGACAATTTACTACAATTTATCTTGGCCAGTAACGATTCTATTCAGATTCAGCCCCAATAATAATTTCAAAGGTCTTGAGAAACAAACTGATCCTGGAAATTGAAAAAAAGATTATAAAACAGTTTTTGCATTTCTTCTTGTAAGCAGTGCCTTTGCTTCTGTGGCTTTGGTGAGGAAGACACAGAAGGCACTAACACAATTTATTACACAAAATAACTTCTGGCAGTAACTTTTAACTCATTATTTTTATTTATTAAACAAATCATTAAACTGAAGTGATTATATGCTGAAGTTTAAGATTGACACTGTAAAACAGATTATGCTGGATGTAAGTGAACTTTATTTTATATACCTTTTTATCAAAGATATCTTTTCAGGAAAGACAAATAAAGGTAATTTTTTCCTGAATATTTCACAGATTGAATCTGAAAATAACTCGATATTTACTATGTTAAAAAAATGAAAATGCTGCCATTGCATACATTGCCTCAACTATTTTTATTACCTCAGTTGCTGCTTTCACCATCTCTAGTTGGCCTTTATGAATCTGGATATTCCAAAAAAAGCTGTTAAATAATTTCAATAAAACCCAACCTGTTAACCTGAAAGAAAAATATAAATTAAGCCACTATATAATAGAATCTATATTTTATACAATCAATTGATAGATAAAGATATACTAGTTGCTTTTTCATGTTCAAAACAGAAACAATCACATCATCCATGATGGACCAAAAGCATATTGTGAAAATTCTATTAAAATGCAGTTTAAACAATAGTTTATATATAGACTATCATCTGTAGAAAATATAAAATACAAAGAAATTTTAATTCCACATAATTCTGAACAGAGTGTAATATTGGGCTGATAAAATGACACTTATTAAGAACATGTTCTTGTTCCATTGAAAAAGTTTGGATACATTAATATATAAAGGAATTCTTCAAGGGCAAAGGATGTTTTTTATTCATTTTGCAACAATGACAATGGAAGAACAATATGAAGAAAGGAATAACAAATATCTCTGTGGATATGCACAGTATTGAATACACTCAGACCTCACAAACAAAACTTAGTATTATTACCTAATCAGACAAGGAGAGATATTTGCTACCATTTCTTGAAGGATCCTTCTAGCTTTCTTCTTGGTTCTGTTAATGTTTCTAGATTCCAGCTGATCAAGACCATTTACAGCTGATGATTCTGAAGACTCCTGTATAATAGCATTCTGCACTCTAAATATCATAAAGTGAACTGAATTAGACTTCAACTACTTCAGATCAACTATTTTCAATTTAAAACTGAGATATCAAAGAAACCCCCCACATCAATATGCTAATTAACTATACACTTTGTAATTGGAACCTTCATGATTTTTTTCATTTAAAAAGATTACATATATGACATTTCAAGGTTATAAGGTATAAGACTATGCATATATTTACATATGTTGATATATGTATTTGTATAAGCATACAGTCCTTACAGAACACCTGTAGAGCAGAATTATACAATTCATATTCCCTTAGAGCCTTAGGTTCAGGAACCAGAAACCTTTGTGTGTTATTACACAATGGTGATTTTTAATATTACTTAAGAGAAAATTAAACAATAATTTAATGACTAAAGAGGAATCATATTAACTATATTTCATTTCAATTAAAAGTATGTGTAAATAAAATAAATTTTAGCCTTTATTCTTGTTCTTTATTCTTATTCTTATGACGCCTCTATATAATTGATATCACACAGCCAGACACAAGGATATAAAGAAGACTCTTTGGAAACAAAATTTCAACTTGCTATAGCTTGTACACAGAGAGAAATTCAAAATAATTGCTTTTAAATTCAGAGTGTCTGCTGTACAAGAAAAAACAATTTTACTGTATGTTGAACATATATTATTTCTAAATAAGAACTTTTCAGTTACAATAATCACTATTATCTTTATCTTACCGACTATTATTCAGTACATTTTCCATCACATTATTTGCAAACATGCTCTTATGAACATCCCGCTCTTGCACGAAAAGAGTATAACAAAATCGCCGAGCAAGCCAACCTCTGTACCTATAACATTATGGAGGAATTTAAAGAGACCAATTATAAGAAAGTTATCCTTCAAATGGCTGCCAAATATATCATATCATATATATCATATCATAAATCATTCTAATTAATAAAATCAGTAGAAGTCACTTTGAGTATAGGTGTTGATTTGGTTCTGGTTTAACAGTATCATGGCAGAAGTGAGTAAAAAAACAAACAAATACAGTACATGAGGCAAACTCTTGGCTGAAACGTGTTCAGCTTAAATCAGCAAAAGAAGATATGAATTCCTTATTAATTCAGCTTTGCACATAAATACAGGCAGGACATACTAACAAAGAGTTTTGCTTATTTTGTTTCTTTTCTTTCTCAACTGGGCCATTTTGCTCAGAACAAATCTGCAAGCAAAATGAAATTTTACCCGACTTCAGGTTTGCCGACGCAGCCGCCATGGACGTCTGGAAGACAAGCACCGTATTCCTCATCCAGTTTGGCATCACTAGGGGACCCTGAAAGGGTCGAAATTTGCCCCGTGAGGCGACGAGCAAGGAGGGACTTTTGCTGGATTGCGGGAGAGCGGTAGCTCTCCAGCTAGAGCCGGCGCTACCCTCCAAACCGGCGGACGAAAGACCAGCTATAGCAATATGGCCCGTCCCTAGGCTGTGGACAGCCGAAGTCACACTTATCACCAGGCAACTTTAAACCAGCGTGGAAGAGACTGGGTGAAATCTACCTCTATTAAACCCTATCTTTTTTCTTTTTTTTTACCTACCTGCTAAAGTATTTTCCCCCCTGTGAGAGGGAAAGGGGATTTTAGCCCTCCCTCCAGAAACAGCAGCAACTGATTATTCAGGGAAATTTAAAACGTTGAAAAAATAATTGGATCCCAATCAAAATTTTATTTCCTAAAGCTTGTGGATTAAAAGAATTTCTACTTTCTATTCTTTACTTCTATTTTAATCTGAAGATCTGGGTTTTTCCTTAAAACTGAAAACACTAAAATAATTTTGGGGCGACATCTTGTGGCTAAACCTGATACTTCAACTTGTTATCGTCTTAAAGTACTTGGCTGACAGCCCAGAAAGTAGATAAGACTTGGGTAACTTTGAAACACCAGCTGTGAGAAGCTCAGCTGTGCTTTTTACTCAGTGGGGGGAAAAAAGACTCTTTCTGGACTCCCTGATTGTAAAACTTCTAGCCTAATACATCATTATGGAAGAAGATCAGGAACAGACTTTTCTTATGGAAGAAGATCAGGAACAAATCCTTTTTATGTTGAAAGCAATTTATCAAACTCTCCTTACAGCTGGTGAAGAAATAAGAGCCTATAGAAAGAAACAAGAAAGCAGGATATACAGGGACTTCCGGTGGCAGGCGATTTCGCTGGTCGCAGCTGTTTGCTGCCTCCCGCCTGTTTTGCGTAAAAGCCGGTTTGACAGCCAGCATCTGCTGTCAAACGGCTTGATACCTTTCCCCTGGGCATAAGGGGATCGGTGAGCTGCCCGGGGTAGGAGTTGAGTTCCCGAGTCGTCCTATACGGACGATGTAGGCGAGANCTTCTTCTGAGCTCAGCAGAAGCGCCAGAATCAGTGCTGCTTTCCAGCTGATTGGTGCTTCTTCAGGGCTCAGCAGAAGCACCAGGATCAGCGCTGAGCTCCAGCTGGAGCCTGGCGCTGATCCTGGCGCTTCCACTGAGCCCTGACAGCCCTGAAGAAGCGCCGATCAGCTGGAAAGCAGCACTGATCCTGGCACTTCTGCTGAGCCCTGACAGCCCTGCAGCTCCAGCCATCTCTCACTCAGGCCTGTGCGGTGCTGCCACCGGTTCAGCTCATTCCCCTTCCCCGCTACCACTTTTCTAGGATGGTCACGTACCACCTGCCAGGTGCTAATGTACCACAGGGGGTACCCGTACCACTGGTTGAAAAGCCCTGTTCTAGACTCTCTCCATTTCATCCACATAACTGAATATCCAGGACAGGCAGGGTAAATCCTAGCAAAGACCTGTTTCAGAATGGGCAGGAATTCAAATGAAAGGACCTCTTTCTGGTTTGTTAAAGCAACTGCATCGGACTTCCAGTGGCAGGCGATTTCGCTGGTCGCAGCTGTTTGCTGCCTCCCGCCTGTTTTGCGTAAAAGCCGGTTTGACAGCCAGCATCTGCTGTCAAACGGTTTGATACCTTTCCCCTGGGCATAAGGGGATCGGTGAGCTGCCCGGGGTAGGAGTTGAGTTCCCGAGTCGTCCTATACGGACGATGTAGGCGAGAACTCCTCCGGAGCCCCGAGGATTCTCCGCGATCCAGGACGCCTTCGCTTCGGCGAAGCAAGAAGCCGCCGCCACCGCTGCAACTTGAAGTTAATTGTGAGTTTACTTATAAGCAGACGAACCAACTTTGGAAGCTTGCTTTTTATTTTGGACTTTACTTTAACTTTTATAATAAGTTTCTCCCCGTATGTGTGGAGGAATGAGGAAAAGTGAAACTAAAATGGCGTTGGATTGATACTTCTCAGCAAGAAGTGAAAGTGATTTCCGGTTTGAAATTTTTCTTACTCTGAATCTGCGTATTACTTGTTTTTACTGAATTGCTTAAACTTATTGCTAATATGGTTCTGAGAAAAATCCTGCCTCTAACTTTGAGACCGTCTACATCCCTGATGGCTCAGACATCTCAACTTACTTCTGAAACTTTCCATTTGTCACCTCCGTTATCTTCTCCACCTCTATCGCTTTTTGCTAGAGAGCTGCGCAACT